AGCTCACGTAATAAGTAGACTCACCATGTGTGGAGCACTGATGGTAGCCGAATATCCTATTGACTGAGGCCTATCATCATAAGGATTGTTCTTGACAAAAAATGCCCGATCAACTGCTAGCATTACATCGCGAACGTAGTCAGTAGAGGCAATATTATTTCCTGTGAAGTGTTACGCTGGAAAGAATGGAATACTTCTTAAATTGTTGACCAGCTCAGTATTAGTTGCGCCACTGGACCTCCAAGCCATTCCTGCAGAGAGCAACCTCTTTAGGGTTTCCGTAGCTCAAAATCCCGTAACAAGACGCAAACCGACCTTGGCTTTGTTTAAATCGATGGTCTGGGAATCTACAGGGAACTGGATTTATGCGGCTATCTGTGCCTGTTCAAGGAAACGACCCTACATCGGCGCTCCTAATAAGGAAAAGATACTGAGTAATAGATTTTAAAAATAGATAGCGCTTAGATACAAGCATGTATTTCACTCGGAATCAAGCACCTGTGAATATCATACTGCATCTATGCTGGAATATGCCTCGACGTGGAATTTATTTATGATAAAAAGTAGATACTTCAGTTCACGTCCTTATCACGCAGAAGATGTTCGAACTGAAAAAATAATCCGGTCCAGGTGTCATATTCGACTCGAGTGCACTAAGGTTGCCAGGCAATAAGAGGTTAGTTTGAATTTGCAGACGTGGTTTCCTCATTTCCAACCGCAACTTCGTTAGTTTTGGCAATGTAAGATTTCTCGACCACATATTGTTTCAATTAAATTCCCTTTCAGAGAAATCTATCCTTATGGATCAAGGTCATAGACATGCACAGGGATAGAATTAGTGAAATGACGGCTTCACATTGCACGATCTTTCCTTCCGGAAAAGAGAGTAAGACTTTGCCGCATACTGGTTTTCCGCATTCCGCATTTCTGTCACTCTATCTCTTGACTGATAAATGCCTCTTCGTATATTAAGTCGGAGAATGCTGAGAGGAATTTTACTCGTAGTCCCTTCTCTCATGTTCAGTCTAACAGTTTTTACTGTCAGATGCCGAATGCTAACCTTGACGTTTTAAAAATTAGAAAACGCCAACATGACACTTTCTTCCTATTAGGTAGAAATCCCAGTCCCAATATTCCACATGTTTACGTCCTTAAACAAATGGATTGACATCATCACACACGTAACTCCGTTCTGATTGTTCCACTGCATATTTGTTCAACGTTTTTACGTCGTTTTTAGCTTCTAAGTCCTACTTTCTTTGGATTCATTCTTCCTGCAAAATCGAGTCGTCAACTAGTCTATCAGTATGCAAGAACGGCGTGTAAATTTTAGCTGGGATTGCTCAAATCTCATTTTCTGGTTGCTTTCCAAACGATCATCTGCCTTTATCTATGAAGATTCGTTCACAGAATTAAGAGTTTCCTTTGCACGTTCCACTCTTTCAGCTAATAACGCCATCTCAAAATTGTGTCTCCACACATTACTCGGACGTCAATAACCCACCGAAAGTCTTCCCCCTGTCTCGCCACCGACCGAATTGGCGACGTTTGTCGTCGACCTTGGTTTTGTTGCTGGCAGGGGATTTTGCAATAAACAAGGAAATTAACGATTATCTCTGTACTTTGTTAGGTAAAAGTACAGCATTTGCCATAGTGAACTGTCTCCCCGTCTGACGAAGTACTTTTGAATACAGATACGCCAGTTCGACTATGCGGTCCCGCTCACATCAGTTGTCATCAATTATACGTTTTATAAATAAAATCCGATGGTTGGCCATGCAAGTAATTCCTACCCTTGATGTAGCCGGATTTCTTCGTATTTACACTTTTTTCATATTTCAGGATCCTTAGTTGGACAGACGCTGCTCTGCCGTGTGCTTTGAAATTCCGGCTGTTGTAGCTAGGAACCCGGCATACTGGGTTAGATAGATGTCGGGCTGCTCCGTCCATTCAGATATTTCCTGTTAGAGATAGGACCCCAGCACCTACAGTAAGACAGTCGATGGACAGCGGCGAGCCAGACTTCGATCTCAACACGCGTTGCTGAACTCCAATTGCGAATAGTTATTCGTCTTTCACTATTCCTTCCCGTTCGCTTACATCGTTTAGGCGCGGCCTCACTCCTTGACACCTGCTACCCGGAAGTTGGTTAAGGTTAGGTTGAGTGTTGATATTTGGGTTAGTGTTAGTGTTTAGACTAGGCTTTTAGTCACGTTTGCTCTTTTTTCAGAGCTACTATGTTCTGCGATTTGGACTTGAACTGTAATGTTAGGTTTACCGTTCGCCTATTGAATTAACATTGTCTTTCACCATTACCTCTGCCATTTTTGCTTCAAGACATGTTTTGCCTTAGTTTAGAAACTCCATTCACCAGTTTTGTTTCCACTTATCGGCTACCTTGATGGTTGGATGTACTCTTGGTCACTTTTCCCTAGGTCATCTAAATCCGCTTTTCCTATAATCAGCATCTCATTACTTAACAATTATGCTTTCTTACGTTAGTCCTTCTGCATCCACGTTGTTTGTTACCTTCTTATCCTGCAGCTTCACAACTGCGTCTCCAGTCACACTCCTTCTAGCCTTCTTTTTGCCTAGCCAACTACACCCGGTCAACGTATTACCCACCTCCTACAGCCGTCCTCCGCTTGCCCTCTTCCTACCATTCCTTTCCGCTTTCGCATTCCATTAACGGTAAACTCATTACCTATTTTGCAGCTTTGCGTTTTACCTGCCTTCACTTGATGGTCCGCCAGGTCTTCCAATGGCATTCTCGGTTCTCCTTGCCCCACGTGGCCATTTCTCTTACGTTCGCCTCTCCCTTATGCATCACCTTTGGCCGCTTTCCACTTAGGTCTTCAGCCTCCTTCTACGGCTTACTTTTGTTTTATCTCACACTGCCCTACAGTTTCCTGTTGGTTTCCACGTCAACACCGCTTACGTATAGTACATTTCGTCTTCATTGTCCTCAGTTCACCTGCTCTCACAATGCTCACCATTTTGTCCACCCACTAATTATTAACCCATTCAGTCGACTACTTCTTTCTTACTTCCACGAGCTGATTGTCATATTACCTCGTATCTCCGACTCTCATTCCCTCCCTACAGGTATAGCCGTCTGTATGTTGTCTGAACATCCGCAGGTTCATTATGGGCTTGCAAAATACGTTCCACTCCACGATAGCAGTCGCCAATACAACAGATAATGCACGATTTCCTGCGTGTCCATAGCTCTGCTTATATCATCATCTTCCGTCCGCTTTTTTCGTGGGCCTCTCCTTCTGTGATTAGCAAGCGCGTAGGTTCTACAGAATTATGAGAAAAGCGACAACTTCGCATTACTACCGGTATACATTATGTGCCCTTCAGTAATCTGTCATCTTTTCCACTCGACGTTTCCAAGAAAATCATGGTTACGGGTTGCATAGACTACGTAACTACCTGACACTTACACAGCCAGCGATTTTTACATAAAAAGCACGCCTACTGTCACATGACAGCGCATTCTTAAGTTTGTTTAAGATCTCCGGAGGTACTGTCTGTTTCTTCACTCGTTTCGGTCACTTAGCATCCACTTTCTACGACATACGCATCTCCCTAACGTCCCACTGGTTCGCGTGCCCACCCGTTCAGTCTCACTGATCTTGATTGTCCAGTCTATTTCTTGGTAGCGAATCTAGTTTTCTTAGGTTACTGAGCCTGTTTTTCAGATTACGTGCCGGTTACACTGTCATTATCATAGCCAGCCATACAATGAAATGTATTTTTTATGCCGTTCACACATTACTCTGCATAGCTCAGTCGTATCCAACCCGAACAGTGTAACCGAACTTAGCCTAATGCGGTGAACACTCAGCACAATCATGGAAGCTAGCCAGAACTCCGGAAAATGGCAGGCAAGTCAAGGTGAAGTGGTAAAGACGATGTAAGAAGCCGCACGGGCAATTATTTGCCGAAAAATGATAATGACCCAGGTTTATCAAAACATCCAACTGCTTCGTTACAAAAAAGGTGATGTGAAGCAGAATACCATAATTTTTGAAGACACACAGAAGAATATATGGTTCATTCGTTACCCTATTGCAGTCCAGCCACCGCATGCCAAAACAGCAAGAGAATGCACTACAACGCAATTTCAGGAAATGTATCGGGCAATTAACTAGTCGGGCATAATTAGCTATTGCCAAGCAAAATTTGCGTTGAGAAATGCAGCAGGCGCGTGCATAACGTGAGTTAATGAAGCTGCAGGTATTTCAGCAGCACGGAGGCGGATTTGTTTTGAGGTGCCGGCAATGTCAACAAAAGAAGGCACTGCACATAAATTCTATCTCCTAAAGCAGCCGGTTAGTCACCGAGAAAGTCATCAAAATTAGTCTATCCGTTATATCGGAAATGCCGGCAAAACAGTGGGCCTTAATGATCGGTCTTAATATAGGAGCTGCTAAAGACCGGTATTCTATTTGCTGCAATGTCTGCCCCAATGCTCTCGTCGAGGAGGTAAGGCAACTGGGTGGACGCTGAGAAGGAGAACAGATTGATGAGACCCTCATAAAGGAGACGACATGTAGTCGTGGACGACGCAAAAGCCAGGATTGCATAATTGGGATGTACGGCACCTCCCAGGAGAAAACCTCTTTTGATCAAGTAATTGAAAAAAAATGTGGCACAGCACGAGTATTGATGAAAGGCAGGTGCCTTCAGGTAGGGTCAATGCAACCAACAAATGGAAAGCGTGCGCTCGCCTGGGCTCGACGGTTCCTATCACTATTTTTCCAGTTCGCTTCAGTGTGTTTGAAGGGAGCAGGCTAACGCATTTGAACTCCCTGTTTGTGCATAAAGATCGCAAAACTTTGCAACAATGTAAAGAAATTACATCACTAAATGAATACAAACATTGATTCACATACGGCACTGGTTTATTTATGGCTACAAAGTCATATTTTCGGTTTTTTGCTGGAGCCAATGCCTGCACAGCAGACAGCACAATGTCTCCACAGACTGAGACATCACAATCGCGTCAGGCAGATTATTTTATGGTTCCATGACACGGTTAGGGAAAAAATACTTTTTAGCATCCAATTTTCCTTGGAGCATATGTAATTTGGATGCATGCCCCGGAGGTTGTTTGCAGTGGCGAGTTGGAAAAAGTCGTCACAGCAGAGGGCGCAGCCCAAACCACGCACGATACGGAAAGTTTGTATCAAGTCTCCACGCAGCTGCCTATAACTCAGAGGATAGAAACTAAGGTTATT